CTACTATTTCTAATAATAGACCCAAAATATCCAACGGGATTTGACATTTTTAAGGCCACTGATCTAGATTTTAACACATCAACTGTTGACCTTTTTCGCATTTCTTTTTCGTAATCTTGGATGCTAGAAATAAAATCTTCTGACGAAGAGTTAATTAATGCTTGGGAGAGTAAATCTGCATCTTGAATAGCGTTATTGGTTCCTAACCCAAGTATAGGATTCATAGCATGAACGGCATCTCCTATTAATGTCACTCGACTACTTGTCCAAGGATTAACTGATGACGGGTTAATATCTCGGTAATTCCTTCGTTGAGTTGGATTATAAGTTTTAAATGGATATTTTTCTGGGTCTTTTGGAGTTACTTTGGGAGCTAAATCCCATAATTCTAATAAAATATCAGTCGTTTCGCATTCCGGACTTAATTTTCGAATCATCTGTTTGACATGTTCGACGACTGATGCGGAATCGTTATCGTCAACTTTGATTTTATCAGATTCTACATCATCTAACTCTGCGGGATACGAATAATTGATGGTCGCTCTGTAATGTGACTCATTACAATCGCCATTATTATTGTAATTTTGTTCTTGCTCGATTGGAATTAGACGAAGGGTAACCAATGAAGCGTCTCCATGTATCCCGAGTGATTTTTGCAGTAAGCTATTTCCATGTAACTTTATGAATCTATCCATAAGATGTTTAGGCACAGCAATATTTGTATTAACATGAGTTACTCCATAATCGAAAATTTGCAATTCAGGTATTTTCTGCTTTCGGACTAAAACAAACATAAAGAAAACGAGAATTAATTATGAACCAAAAAACAAATACGAAGCTATATGCTATCAAGAAGTGCATTAAAGTTTACCTGGAGAATTAATACCATCTGCGCCAACTAAAATGTCACAAAATTCTTGTGAGCCATCATCAAAAACTACCTTAACACCTTCGTTGGTTTCTTCATATCCAATACATTTTTTACCCCATTGAACTGACACACCTTCTAATAATATATCCCTAAGTCTGTCACGATAGGAAATGATCAGCGAAAAATCATCAGGTACTTTACAGATTTCGTTAAAGTTTTTAACTTGTTTAGATGGTGACCTTAGTAAAAGATTTCCTTTAAGATCAAAGACCGAGATACCATGGAATTCTACGTCAGCAAGTGGATCAGGGATTGCTTTTGAAAGGTTTGAGACGGCTGAGGATGGGATACAATTCAAAAGAGATCGAATACCACGAGCGTTCAAAGCTATATGATATCCCTGCCAGCGATCTGTTTTTATATGAAATAATTCAAGTTGGTTGCACGGTTAATAAACAGTTTCTTATGTATATAGATGCAGTGATGTATCATTTTCTTTACCTTCTGGACTAGATTCCCGTTCAAAAATTTTTAC